ACCAAAAAATTTGTTCGTGGTTTTTTCCTAAATGTTTGTATTTAAAAATATAATAACCAAATTTACATTATATCACGTAAGGAAAAAAATAAATAATAAATATTTATTAAAGAGATAAATCAATAATATTTATCACTTAGATAATAAATAATAAATATTTACATGTAAAAAAATAAATAATAATATATTTAAAAATATAAGTCAGAATTTCAAATAAAGTAAAAGGAGGGATAACTCATTTTTTAAAAAAAGTTTCTAAATATTTAATATATTGATAAGTATCTCCATAAGAATAATCATACCATTTTAATTTTAAAAAAATTGGCAAGTTTGTTAGAGAGATAAATCCGGTTAGACAAATAATTAATTTGTTAAGATATTATATTAATTGTATCATAAAAAATCGGTTAGATAATGTAGATAAAAAAATATAATACTAATTAGTTTGTTAGAAATGTGATAATGAAAACCAAGATAAAATGAAATTTACCCAAAAAAATTGTCTGGAATCTTTTCCTTTAAATGTTTGAATTTACAAATTTAATACCGAAATTCTATTATATCACATAAGGAAAAAATAAATAATAAACGTTTATTAATATATTAAAATATATAATTTTAAATTTCATATAAAGTAAAAAGTATGCTTATTCAAATTTATTTTTAAAATAAAAGTTATGATAAACATTTATTGATTCTCTTTCAAATATATTAATAAAATAAAAATATAAATCTAAACAAATTTTGAAACAACCAAAAAAATCGGATTGATTGGCATAAAAAAAGGAAGTGAAATCGGATTTGAATACTAAAATCGGAACACCTTACCAAATTGAATGCTAAAAGATTCGATTTGATTGGTTACCTAATTGCATGGGCTGAAAAAATTCAAAAAAAAATTTTACGAATTGAAGAAGCGGGAAAAACACTATATTGAAGCGGGAAAACGAAATAATTATTTTCGGATTGTTCAAATAATTTTTCTTCTCCGTATTATATAGTAATAGATAACCTTTTTACAAATTTAAAAATTTTTTCCCGCCAAAATCATTAAATATATCCTATATATAGTAATTGTTGGACAAATCTGAATAGGCAAAAAATCCGCTCATTAATTGTGTAAAGATTTGTTTCTCTTTTTCCTGTTTCTTAGTTTATCGTTTTAACAATAAATATTTGTTTTTCTTTTTTCTATTTTTAGTATAAATCTACACGAGCTTATCTCTTCATCTGTTACAAAATCTCATTGCATACGATCTTAGGTGTTTAAAAAATCTCATCTCTTATCTATACAAATTTGAAAAAATAAAATAAAATAGAAATCAATTCATAATTACTACTAGAAATCCATTATCTTTAAAAAGAAAAAATAAAATAAAATAGAAACTAATTCATAATTACTACTAGAAATTCATTATCTACTTTAAGAAGCTAATTTTCATCGGTCTAATTACTAATATTTTTACAAATATTCTAAGTTAACCATACGAAAAAGTATAATAATAATTTTGAAATGGTGTGTAATCAAAATTTTTTATATTCTCTTATACAAAATCATTGTACATTGTTTGACCCCGAATATTTAATTTATAATTATTAAGTATTGTTTATCCTCCTCTTTTATTTATAATTATTTTTTTTTCTTCCTCTTTTTAAATACGATCAATAGTAGTTTTTACTTCCGCGATTGACTCAAACTCGAGGTCTATTTATAATATTGTTAATTTAATATTGTTCCCGTGCATCGTACGGGGTACACACTAGTTGTAATAGAAAGGTATCACATTAGGTGAAGTGAAATATCATAAAGAAGTAGGAGAAATAATCTAAATTTCACAAACTTCGAGGAAAAATGGATCGATAATAACGAAGTAAGATTATACTTATAATTTAAAGATGGAGAGTTGAATGTGAATCCTAGCAAATTCGTGTCAACATATAGATTTTTTATTTTTTGATTTTGTACACACCTACAAGGTGTATGTATTTGTTTAAATCAAGAATTAAAAATCCACGAGAAATTGTCTTCCTGGGCAGGTAGACATGGCCAAAACCCGGTTCTGGGCCGGTTTCGGGTCGGACCCGCCAGTTCCGCGTCATTTGGTAGAAGATCCTGAACCAACCCTACTATATGTAAGGGCTAGTTCAATGAACTGGCTCGAACCGCTGGTTCATTGAACCGTCGATTCCTGCTCTGTTCCATGCCGGTTCCGAAGGTTCTGGGTTTTTTTTTGGTTAAAAATTGATCGTTGGATTTTCAAAGATCAAATTGATCTAACGGCCCAGATTCAATCTGGTTGTCAGGTCCCCAACAGTCGGCCCGACCCGGACAAAAAATAAAAAAAAAAATTGAAAAACCCAGACCCGTCTTATGGCCCGTAACCAGCTCGAATACAGCGTGTTAAAAAAAAATCTAGACCCGGAATTGACCCGTTTGTAGCACGGGTCCGATTCAATGACCCGTACATACAGGCCGGTTCGACCTTGATCATGTCTATGGGCAAGGTCAACTCATCTGTGATTTTTCATGTCTCATTTAAAAGCTTTACATGGCTAGACAATTTCAAATCAAAATCGAAATAATTAATTTTTACACAAAAACAACCTTATAGTATCAAACTACGCCGAATTACACGATCTAGCTCGATCGTTTAGTTTTCAATGCATTCAATTCAAGCAAAAAATAAAAAAATTAAAAACAAAACATGTAAAAAAAGAATAATCGAATCACACCCCACTACATTAATTAACAATTGAAAAAGGACATAGAAAACAATCGGGTGGAACCCCCAATGCCTTCCGTCTCCTCTGTTTTTCCTCAATTTCAGCATAGTAAACCCTAGCCGATTTGCCTTCCGTTTCGCCTTCCCCAGTCGAGGCGCTGGGATTTATGACGGCATCAGGCCCCTAGCTTTGCATCTCATCCTCTATTTTGTGCCTGAGCCGTGGTCTCACGCCAACGGGTAGGTGGGGTGGTCCCGAGAGGTTTTCGCTGCTCGTCTGGTTGCCTAATCGGGACGGAGGTTGTCGATCTCCCTGGCGACGCGACTGCCAAAGTCAACGGTGCTTATGCGGGAGTGGGTCGTGTCTCCGACGGCCGTGTGGTGGTGGGTGGGGCGGAGGTTGGCAAGCTTTCCTTCTTGTCCCCTTTGCTCCTGGTGTGAGTGTCGAAGGGACGACCAATATGTCGTGGTCTGGCTCGTGGTGTGGGTTGGGCTCGGGCGATGGTGGTGTGGTGGGGGATTGTTTCGGTTTCCTCCGGCTCGGGGTAGGGTCGGTTATCTGGGTGCGGGGTCGAGTTTTGGAGTGTTTTGGTCCAGTTACGCATTTGTTGCAGTTTCTGGATTTGAGACTTGGAGTAAAATCCGTTCTGTTTGTGTGATTGGTCGTGGTTGTTGCTATCTTATGGCGCATTTCTTCGGCTTTGGAAATGGCTTTAATCTTTATCTTTTTGGTTTTAGGTTGTGTTAGCTATGTTGTCTGTTTTTGTTTTGTAG